GCACAAAATAAAATATATAAAATCCCATTTTATAAGCAAATATTCAGCCTATAATTAATTATTTAGAAACTGATCGCATTTTTGAGAAACTAAGCTCCTTTATTTTTCTTCATCCTTTATTTCTTCTGCCCTCATTTTTTCTATTTTTCAACTCATTTATATAACCTATTCTAGAAAAGAAAGGGCAAAAAGAGAAGGAAAAAAACAGATCCGTTAATATAGTTATTTCTTAGCAGATCTAAAAGAAGTGGAGAAAAGTTTAAATTACAACGAGAGACCCATTATGGGTCTCCGGCTACACCAATGTGCAGCAGCTACAATTCCTTTGTCTTCCCCTGGTCTGGATAACTGAGAATTAGCTGATATGCTTTGAAAGAGGTAGAACACTGCATCTCTAAAACTATTCATCACCAATGACTGAATGATCCTGCAACAATTGAGACCTTGTCTACAAAAATGCACTGAAGTTTTTAAATTAGATAAAAATTTCCAATATCATTAAAGCTAATATATCTTTAGCCACATCAGATTATTAGCTATTTTTATTAATTGCTGCTGCATTTGGTATGCAATTCACTATGCCACAGAAATATAAATCTAGGTAACTCAAAAGAAAAAGAAAAAAAATTTATCCACATCAAGAGAAAAATATCTACACGGAAATTAAAAAAACGTGCAAGCACTTAATTGAAAATATCAGGCATTATGTACTTAAATAAATACATCAAGAGAGAAAGAAGACAGCAGCGGAACCTAAACCTAAAAACTGAATACACAAATGGACAATGGCCAGATCATACATAAAAATACAAGTCTAACTCCCAACTTAGAGCAACTCACCTAGGAAACCATACCTACAATAAACAGCCCAGGAAGCCAGTCTGCTCTAAGTTAGACTTGCAGGAAGTCAGATTGTCACCTCCAGCAGCAATCCAGGAAGCTAAACAATAACATCTATAACAACTGAACCAAAGTAGTCAAGACTTGATTAACTAACAGCTTCCCTAAATTTTGTCACCACTTTCAATTTAGGACAAACCAGAGAAGGACAAATATGCACCTCGAACTAATCACATTGAATGCCCCACTTCTAATTACCCCCTCTTACAGCTTCCCCACACCAACAGCCTCCAACCAAGGCATACTTCAAGCCTTCCCTTTTCTCCACTATAAAGCTTTCCCATTCTTTTGTCTGCCTTTGAGTCTCTGCCAAAATGCAAGTGGCGGTGGCTAACTCCCTTTCTATGTAGCAAGGTCTGAATAAAGAGCCTTTACATTTCTCATTTGGTGGGTCTTCATTTATTTCCACACTATTGAGCATCTACTACATATCCATCAATGGGGAGCACACTTAGATATCCTAAAAAGTTAATTTTCACAATATTTTGAGAGGATTTTTTTATCCCCATTTCATAGATGTACAGAACTGAAGTGTGTAGAAGTCAGTTTCTTGTGCTTTCCTATTTACATCATGCTAGAATCATAGTTTTTGGTACATTATTGTGATAAAGGTATTTAAGATAATATTAAAAGGGCACTAACAATAACAACAATAATAACAACAACAGCTATAAATTAGTTGGGTATTTTTTAGCATTATTTGCATTCGTATCTATCAATTTGCTGGATAAATGTCAACATTGTATTTTTAATTGACTCATTGCTTTAAAGTTATAATGAATCAAAATACACACAGAGTTTGAAATAATCAAAAGCACCATAGAAGAAATGACTTCTCTATCTTATTTGCTATAAAAACACATCAGCAGAAATAATTTGCTTGTCAAGTAGTGACCGAAGCAACAGGGTTTTTTTATAGATAATGTATAGAAAACCTTATAAGAGGGGCACCTGGGTGGCTCAGTCGGTTGAGTGTCTGCCTTCCACTGGGGTCATGATCCCAGGGTCCTGGGATGGAGCCCTGAGTTCGGGTCCTTGCTCAGGGGAGAACCTCTCCCTCTCTGGGAGGTTCTCCCTCTCCCTCTCCCTCTGCCCCTCCCCCCAACCCCGCTCGTGCTCGTGTGTGTGTGCACCCATGCACGCGCGTGCGCGCTCTCCCTCTCTCTCCCAAATAAATAAAATCTTAAAAAAAAAGAAAGAAAAACCTCATTAAGAAAATGTAGTTATTTACGATACTGACAAGGAAACAAGTAAAAATGAAATTTGAGTGATTCTGAAAGAGAATAAGAATTTGCCTGGCACTTTTTAAAAGGTAATTATTTAACAATCGCATAAGTTAACTACCATTGTATTTATTTTACAAATAGAAACAAGTTGTAAAGACATTTAAGAACACTACCTAAAACTTATCAGTTAGTGAGCAAAACAGTCTATATTCAGAAACTGAAATAATTTTTGGTTTCAAAGTTCAACAGATATGCTTAAGAAACATCTGATTAAAATTCACTTTAACATATTCCCTTACCACATAAGTTGGCACAGAACCTAAATGCATTGAAGTAATTTATTTTCTAACTATAAAATAATATAACTTAGCTTTATAGGAAGAAGCAGGAAAAACAGCATTTGCACAAATTAGAAATTACTATGGAAGCTACATAAAACTAGATTTTTTTTTTAAAAATAGGAAAATATAGATGATTAATAAGGCCTTTTAATGCCTGAAAATAAAATGATATTTAAGAACAATTCCCTTAACAAAGACCTGAAGAACTAAAAAGAAATCTACAGATAACATTGTTTAAATAATAATGTAGAATAAGAAATGATGACTAAAGGCCAAATAATTCCTCAGGTGGTTTCTTCTTTGTCTCACTAATTTCATTTAGTTAATTCAAACCTTTATTAAGAATTCCTTGCTTTGAGCCTAAATTAAAATGAACAGATTCGGAATCTGAGAAGCCTTATAAAAGAAAAAGATTCAAGTTATTGGCCTTTATAGCATCTCATGTTAAGGAGGGAAAACTATTTTCTGAAATGTCTCTGTTTTAATAAAAGTAATGAATTTGTCACATAAAATTATAAATACCAAAGTTATAATTTGGCCACTTTGCTAAGCATATAGAGGGGGAAAAACTACTTCCTTTATATACCTGAAAGACTGCTCCTTCCCATAAATAGGACTGATGCTCAGTGACTATCAATTGATTTAACTTTTAAAACCTTTAGTTATCTTCTCCCCATTGGGATGCAATGACATATTTTTCATATAAAAGAAAAAGTGAATTTTGTTTTGTTTTGTGTGTTTTTTGTTTGTTTGTTTGTTTTTGCCTCTTTCTACATCAGCCCTTCTGAATGGGGCAAATGAGCAAAAGGTATGGAGTAGGTTGCAGAATGCATTTTATAAGAAAATCACTTGGCGGATTTTCCAAGCAATACGTACCTCAAACATTGGGGTAGATGTCAAGAAAAACAATGGTATCATGAAAATCACATGTTCCAATAACTTTGAAGCAATGGTATGTGGGCAGACTGCCTGCATTAGAATCCTACCCTTCCACTGGCTAACTGTATGACACCAGTCAAATCCCTTAACTGTGACAAGTTTCTTCATTTATAAGACAGGACGAAATAAATAAATAAAATCTTTAAAAAAAAAAAAAAAGACAGGACGATAATAGAACCCAAGGAGATGGTTGTAAGGATTCGGAGACTTAGTATATATGTGTTGGTACAGAGTAAACACCAGATGAGTGTTACTTTATTATTGTGAATCTGAAACAAAGCAAATAATTTCATTTTAGGAAATGAGCAGCAAGTTGAAAGTTTTCTTATGCTTATGGTCAAGACAAATAGGATGATGATTGTTCCACTGACTATGATAATGTTCTTAAACGTAGGAGCCTGGCCACTTCTTGAAGGTGGAGTGGTGTCAAAACTCTTTGAATCTCAAGTATCTGATGATGTCTCATGTGCAGAGGTACTCAATACATGTTGAGTGAATAATGGATGAATTTTTAAAAATAAATGAACACATGGGTTGACACTTCTCAGAAAAAGAATGGTATTCATATAGAGTGGGCTTAATATTTAAAATAAGTGCAAATTCTTTTCACAAGTTTCTTTTGAAACTTAAATCTACATCTTAGAAAGGATTCAGTAGGGGCGCCTGGGTGGCTCAGTCGTTGAGCGTCTGCCTTTGGCTCAGGTCATGATCCCAGGGTCCTGGGATCGAGCCCCGCATCGGGCTCCCTGCTCATTGGAGAGCCTGCTTCTCCCTCTCCCACTCCCCTTGCTTGTGTTCCCTCTCTCGCTGTGTCTCTCTCTGTCAAATAAATAAATCAAATCTTAAAAAAAAAAAAAAGAAATGATTCGGTAGTCTTCCCAAAATGATTGATATAGTCCAAGGTATTGCAGTTTTCTGTTTCTGCTTCAAACTGACAGAAAATATTTAATCTCTTGAGGGAAAGAGAGTTGTACTTTTATCACCTCTTGACTACGGTTATATCATCTTTTTAAGAGAGCCTACCTTATTAAGAATTTTCATTTATTTATAAACACATAGTTTTATTAGCTTGAATGGGTTGATTTTTTTATTAGTTGAACTGGTAGATTTTTTTTTTTTTTAAGATTTTATTTATTTATCTGAGAGAATGGGAGACAGAGAGCATGAGAGGGGGAGGATCAGAGGGAGAAGCAGGCTCCTCGCCGAGCAGGGAGCCCGATGCGGGACTCGATCCCGGGACTCCAGGACCATGACCTGAGCCTAAGGCAGCCGCCTAACCAACTGAGCCACCCAGGCGCCCCGAACTGGTAGATTTTTTAAAACTAAGATTTAACTAACATAAGACAAAGAAAACATTTCTCCTCTTGAAATCTTAAAGATATTTCAGAGTACATATTGCATTACCCATGCTTGTGTTTTGAAATTAACGCTACATGGCCTTTCATTGGTATAGTATGTTTTTAATCTAGGAATTCTGCTGAATTCCTGCTGAAATGAGCTGCATAATTATTTTGTAATTCTAGGGCTTACAATATATTTGCATGATTTTATTTCTCAGAAATAATATGGGAGGTGGTAGATGATTATTTCTTACCCTATTTGAGTCAATTCTCGCTCTGGAAGTATAGATGGGCGGGGGGATGTTGAAAGCCTGAGGGACCAGGTATTCCTCAGCATCCATCATATCTTCCAAATCCTCTTCATCCAAGAGATTCTGAAAGAACTTGCTGTCATTTGGACTGGGAAGCTTCATGCGATCATCACCCTAAAAGTTTGCCCACCAGACAAACAAAAAATGAGTCTTCTTTTCACCTTAAACATGTGGACTTTGCAGCAAATTTACGTAATATCAAAGCAAGTGGTTGAAAATTCATGCACTCATTTAAAAAAATAATTCTTTAACACAATTACCAGTCATGAAGGAGCCTGTAACATACTTAGATATGACAGGGTAAGATAAATACATTTAACAGAATGTGATAAATGCCATCAGAGATGAATAAAGCAGAATGTTCTGGCTGCTTTGAAGGAGGCATAATCTATTTCAGATCTGAGAATAACAGTAGGCTTCATTGCCAGGATGTTTGAGCTGTGACTTTAAGAATAAATAATAAAAGACAATTGACTTATCAATCTTTACTTTATTTTATTTAGTTGGTTTGATACTGTAGAGTTCTCAGGACATACAGGCTGCTCCATGATTTGTCCTAAGGCATAACATTGTAGCTTCCTAAATCACAGCACAAATAGCAAATAACATAAACGAAGGTGGGAGAGACACCAAAACCCTGCTCTTTTTTACTTCATCTATTTCTTAAATATGATTTTTTTGAATTTTTCAAAATTATGTGATATTTTTGTAAACAAGTTGTTTATGCAAATTAATTTGGGAAAAGGATAACTGGAAATTATTCTAAAATCTGGCTTTTATCTTCATGTCAGACTATTGATAGGAAGATAAATGCTACCTTGTTTTATTGAGGAAAATTAATTCAGTGCAACCCAAGGTCCATTTGTTTATGATTTAGGTAAAAATAATCATAGATAAATATATTACAACTTTAAAATTTTCCAATCCATTTTTTTTAGTGTTTAATATAAAATGTTTTTTGGGCTATCATTTGATTCATATATACATCAATTCACTTGAATCTGAGTTATTGCTTGGATACTGTATATCTCCCCAAACAAACTATATTTATAAATATTTTTTAGGAAATTAAATATCAATATATTGAAACTAGTAATTCACTGTCTTCAACCCTGGACAAGATTAAAACAAAAATCCATCTTCTGGGCGTCTGGGTGGCTCGGATGGTTAAGTGTCTGCCTTTGGCGCAGGTCATGATCTCCAGGTCCTGGGATAGAGCCCCATGTCAGGGCTCCCTGCTCAGCGGGGAGTCTGCTTCTCCCTCTTCCTCTGCCCCTCCCCCCTGCTCATGTGCTCTCTCTCTCTCTGTGTCTCTCTGTCTCAAATGAATAAAAATTTAAAAAATAATTCTTAAAAATCCATCTTCCTTTTATTCTGAAAAAGGAAGATTATAATAATGGACATGACTTAATGCATGTTAATAAAAAGCAGAGTGCTAGAAGGCTTGTCTGGGGATAAGGACTTTTTATGTATATGGATAATCATAATTATCTTGCTGTTCAGTACCAGAGGCACTTGAATACTAAGGGAAGATTCTTAGAAGTGGTTGTGACATCGAGTGAAAGGCTCTTTCCATAAGTCATTTCACATGATATTCTGCTTAATTGACTTATGAGTGGTGATTTCCACAGTCCCAAAGATGAGATATGTACCAACCTGAATAACTAGATATCTTTGAGGGTCTCGAGCCATCCTTGAAAATTCAGCAGCCAGTTCCTTAAATTTAGGCCTACTGTCAGCATCAATCATCCAACCTAGAAATTCACATACAATAAAAGAGTCACTCTACCCATAATTAAGAGGAAGTAGGATGTAAATTTTATGAAAACATAGGCTCAGTTTGAAAAATATTCTTTTAATAACAATGATCTAAAAAAGCCAAACAAACAAAGAAAGCTAAAGAAAGAAACAATCCAATTAGGTGAGGTTCTATCTCAATCAGTTTGTTGATATTCAGAAATAAATGTAATATACGATAGAATAACAGAAACTTTTCATTTTGTTCATCTAATTTAAAAATAATTTTCCTTCTTAGAAAACATAACCTAGACTAACTATAGGAACTTACAGAATCTCTGATTTTTTTTTTTTTTAACTTTTCTTTGATGGGGATATAATTTATTATTTTATGTCAGGAGTGACATGAAGCTTTGGTTACAATGCAGTACACCAGCACAGAGGGGGGAAGGGAAGAGAAAGCAACTTTCTCATGCTACTTTTTTCCTGGTGGGAAAAAAACAATCCAAAATGATTGGTAATGTTTGTTCAGCAACAGCCATTAGCTTATCTAAGTACTAGCCTTTGCAGCATAAAAATACTATCAGCAATTTTCAAGGTATGTATTATTATTTAGCTGGGAGTCCAGATAAAGTGGGTCTTATCTCCCCAGGCTCTGTTTAGCTGATGAGATCACAAGAATAAAAGCACAAAGCTTTCCTTGATTTTCTTGCCAAATGATCCTCTTCTTAGGTATTAAAACTCATAAAAGAAAGGTAAAACTCCCTATTAGGCAAAATATTTTCCTGATTTTTCATTGTTTCATCAGAGTATCTAAATGAAGTATCTAAATCACCTCTGTTGCTAGTTATGAGATCAAATTATATAACGCATGCGTTTTTTTTTAAAGTTCCTTCCATAGATGACTATTGAATGATGTTTGATCCAATAAAGCTATAAGGTTTATTTCTTTTTTCCGGGGGTTCGATTTTTATTCTTGTTCTGGGAAGTCTTTGGGTGTCATTTCATGTATCATTAATGTTACCTGAATTTTTTCTCTTCTAACAAAGCTCAACTGTATGCATCCACTTAGAAAAAAAAAATGTTGTTGATACCAAGATGCTAATGAGAAAATAGGTGTTTCTGGAACTACTGGAATCAAAAAAGGTTAACTTTGCTGGGAGGTATCGGTTTCTTTCTAACTGAATATTGAGTAAATAGAACTGTGCTTAGAGAAAAGGGCATGCTGACCTGAACTGGAAAGCACATTTTTTATTTCTTCCCTCACTGTCAGAATGTATCACACATGTCATGAATATAAATCTGAGTAGACCTGGGTCCAAAGTCTCTTATTAATAAGATGCTTATTCACCTTCACCAGTTTGTTTCTTTGCTAACCCTGTGTAAATCAAAAGCGGAAAACCCCAGATTACACAAGAAAGATTGCTGAATGTTAATCTCACTTAAATTAAGTGGGAAACTCCAGAGACTTCCCTAATTCTGTTTAAATTAAGAGCTGAGGCTGCCAAAACACATTTATAATACATATGAGTATGGGGCACAGGAAGGAGGAAGAAAAGTAAGAGCGTTTGATGTAAACAAATGATCAAATTGAAAAAAAAGTAAACATTCATAATCTTTTTATTTCACTGTAGATTCATGTCTTCTCACTTCCCATTCTGCCCTGCTAATTTCCTGTTGACTAAAACTGGTAAACCTATTTCCATTTAATTCATTTTTTTAAACTATCAGTTTCAAGCTTTCTTTCTTTATATTTAGATCATTTGTCTAGACTGCTATTTTCCTATAAAGATTAGTAGCATTATTGTGACTAATTACATCTCTTTATGAAAGACAATTTGATTGTCATGGAAATGATAAGAATCAAAGTGAAATGAATCAGAAGAGTAAGAGTCATATAATTTTGACTTTATAACGTGGAAGCATGCATATTGATGCATACTGCTTCCTATTAACAATAAGCCAAAAACACAGGTGTTTACATGATTTTTCATAATTATTTTTGAACTTTCATATTTTTCATATACAAAAACATTATGCAGGTAGATTAATCCATACTATTATTTTACTAAGAATGATGATGGTGATGATAAAATTATTTTGCAGGGCGCCAGGGTGGCTCAGTTGGTTAAGCGACTGCCTTCGGCTCAGGTCATGATCCTGGAGTCCCTGGATCGAGTCCCGCATTGGGCTTCCTGCTCGGCAGGGAGTCTGCTTCGTCCTCAGACCCCATCCCCTCTCAGGTGTTCTCTCTCTTTCTCATTCTCTCTCTCTCAAATAATATAAATAAATAAAATCTTAAAAAAAAAAAAAAAAAAAAATTATTTTGCAATCTTACATTTGACCATGACCATGTAAACATCAATAGTGCAGATTGGAGGCTGGGGCAAACGTTCTCCTTTCTCTAATAAATCCGGGATTTCTCGGGTTGGAATTCCATCATAGGGTTTTCCTCCAAAGGTCATCAGTTCCCATATAGTGACTCCTAAATTGGAGATCAAATATTTACATAAGCAAACTAACAACATAGTATGAAGAAACCAGCAGTGTGCCAATAACAAAAGAAAGCTCCCTGGAAGGCAGTCAAAAATAGTCTAAAGAGTCTGGGTGGCACAGTCAATTAAGCATCCGGACTCTTGGTTTTGGCTCAGGTTGTCATCTTAGGATCATGGGATCGAGCCCTGCCTCAAGCTCTGTGCTCAGTGCCCCCACCCCACCCCTGCTCTAAAATACATAAATAAATCTTAAAAAAAAAGTCTAAAGAAAGGCTCTTCAGATTTCTATATCTATTAGGAGAAGCCCAATGACAAAATCTTTGTGGGAAATTCAATTATCTTATTATTGTTTTGAAATTTTTAATGAGTAACAGAGACAATTCAGAGTGGATGTCAAAATACAGAGTCTGTTCCCCATTTCTACTTTTAAGTAATGTTAATATTTGCTGATCCAAGTTAATTTTCACTACACCACATTAGAGCCTATCAAGCAATTCATTATATACATGTGTATTCAGTATCAAGTAAATATGATTGCAGATAAAATCTGATGTTGACTGATTTTGAGATTAACATTTTTGCTATTAAAAGTCCTGTAGGCGGGCGCCTGGGTGGCTCAGTTGGTTAAGCGACTGCCTTCGGCTCAGGTCATGATCCTGGAGTGCCGGGATCGAGTCCCGCATCGGGCTCCCTGCATGGCAGGGAGTCTGCTTCTCCCTCTGACCCTCCTCCCTCTCATGCTCTTTGTCTCTCATTCTCTCTCTCGCAAATAAATAAAAAATCTTAAAAAAAAAAAAAAAAAGTCTTGTAGGCTAAGCTGGGATGCCAGAATGATTACCTTATGTTATGGTAAATCCTTGTGGCTCTCTTTTTAACTCACACAAAGAGAACAGGTGGAATAAAACAGATTCGTATCTTTAACACCTGTGAGAGCCTGAGTGATCCAAATATAACGTAATACATATGAAGTAAGCATCACAAAATTGAAGGGAATCAATAATTGGTGATTCCATAGATATGAAATCACTTTCTTGAACCACTAGAACAGTGATTCCCTTTGTAAATACCAGCAGGCAAAGAGCTAACTTTGATAATAATGATTCTGATTTGAACAATAATATATACACTATAGACCTCTTTCTGATTTCATAAATATACAATTAAAAAGTTGTCATTTCTTAAGGATAAGGATTTTAAGTTCAGAAATAGCTATCTGTGCATAAGAGTCTTACCAAGTAAATTTTGATTGGTTCATATAATATACAAACTATGTTTTAATATAAAGTCCATTAATTAGGACTATGCTTTTTTTTCTACTTCCATCTGTAATGAATTATTAATTCAAACTGAAGTCTTTTTTAGCTCATGACAGTTATCATTGACTAATAATAAAAATACAAAGTTTAAGATATAAAAGTATATATGAACTTCAAGTTATCCTTTATAATAATATCATTAGCAATTACCTGATTTTTCTTGTTAATATTTTTATCTTATGATTCTTAGGTATAATATAAAAATGTAACTAGTGACACAATTTAACTGTTTGATCTTGATTAAATCCTACTTAATTTTGCATATTAAAGAATGGCTCTGTAGAACCAATAATTAAGATTCAGTGTCCATGAGACAGGCTGGAACAAGTTAAGAAGCAAAGGTGCATAGATGGCTGTCTATTTCTATTCAATCAGTCAATATATATACATATTTATAGAATATGTATTTAATGAGGCCATTTTGTTAACTTATGTATGCAGTTATAAAAGAATAGATGCTCTCACATCTCTATCAGAACTTCTAAAAAAAAGAACTAATGTAAACAAAATGCAAAGCAATTACAAATCAAAATAATAGAAATATAAAAAAGAGAAACACATACATATAAAAACAAAAGTAGGAACAGCAAAACTCCCACCTCTGCCAATAATAATCCAATTATATCTTTGCAGGAGTGACCACAAGATATGGTTAAAGAGATGGCCTCATGTAGACAGACAATCCCAGGAAAACTGAATTAGAAACATCCTCAAAACTTACAATCCTATCATTTGAACATATAAACCATAGCATCTTTATTAAAATAATGGTGGCAATTTTCCACAAAGGTGCATTGTAAACAACATTATGTTTCTCTCTGCCTTTTATGTCTTTTGCAATCAACTATGATATATCATAAAAATCTTAAAATGCCTTATGGATATGGGTTGATGACCTGGACTATGTTTCAAAGCAGAGTACTAATCTATCTATCTATCTATCTATCTATCTATCTATCTATCTATCTATGTACTTATTTTAATGTCGTTTAAAATTGCTTGCAGCAGATTGTCACATTTAATTGAGGGAAACATACATAGAAAAAAGGAAAAGAAAAAAATAATATATATGTCATATATCAAAATTTATATGGTAACATATAAGTCTATCATACAAAATATAATCTGTAAACCTATATCATATAATATATATACTTGTTTCATGTAATATATATACTAGATTTGTGTTTCTATTTAGTCTTTACAGTTCAACAATTAAAATTTTTCAATCGTTTTCCTATACTTGTCTATATCTCAAGCACAGCACACTTTCTACTTCGAAGCTTAGCAGAATACATGGAGACTTTGTGGAAATTTTAAACAAACAGCATAGGTGTGTGGAGGTAAAAAACACTTTACAGAAATGTCTTAACTTTTTTTTTTTAAGATAATTTGTGCTTTTCTAGATAAGAGGTATAAGTTCTATAGTGATTGAATGGATTAAGTCTTTTTTCTAAAAACAAAAACAAAGATAAAGCTAGACTTAAATTTGAGTAAACTAAATTGTACCATGCTTTCAAGTCACACCACCTTTTTGCTTAAATGGGCATCATGCTTTTAATTTGTAAGAAATATTGGTTCTTTGTGACATATTTAAACTTAGAAAAGGTGTTGATTCATTCTCACTAATACCTGGATGAACTTAAGTTGTAAATAGCTAGATAGATCTAAGTATCTCATCTCACCAATTGAGTTAAATGCAATTAAATGAATGCTCTAAGTTTAAAATCACCCATTCCCAGTTCATGTTATTCATTCTCTAATATATCTGTTTATTCCAAAGTAGTTTGTAAATTAAAATCAAAGCTGCAATTAGAAATCTTCTCTCCTATCTCTCCCCTCACATTTATTGCTCTCACCTTATTGCTTTCTGTAATTGTTCTTCGTTACAACAATAACATTTCTTATTATAGAACAGACATTCTTTTATTTTTAACATATGTTTTCAAACAGTGTTTTGAAAAATCAAGGCTATGAGGCTCTATGACATTGTTCCTAAACTAAAATTGGCTGGTTTTTTTCTGTCAAAATGATCAGAAAAGTTGTTACCAAACCAAAGGTTATGGTAGACAACTCAACTGAGATTTTAATATATTACATTTTAGAGAACCAAGGAATAATAAAAAAGGCAGATAAATGATACAATTTAGAGTTTTGTTTTTTTAAGTGGAAAAGCAAAGAGTTAATTCCTTTAGGAAATAAGGCTCATAAGTAGGTATTTCCAACACAATAAAATAAGTTGGCTTAAGATGTTTTACATGAGCCTAATATATTTATTTTTGCCTTAAAACCCTTAATTCACAAGGAAGATTTATTTACCATAGCTCCAAACATCACTCTGATGGGTGAATTTCCTGTAGTGTATACACTCCAGAGCCATCCATTTAATTGGCATCTGAGAAATAAAAAGAGAAATAAAAAGTGAAAGTTTTATAGTTACATAAAAAGTCATTCCTATATTCTTTTCCCAAAATATGAGTCTCTGGGTTTGCCTCAATTGTATTTTTTGATTGTGTTTTTTTGTGTGTATAGAAAATACAAATATAATATTAATAATAAAGATGTTATTTCTCAATACAGAGAGCAATGAATTGAAATTTATAAAATTCTTAAAGTGAATTAACCTAAAGATATATTTATTTTTAAAAGCTTCATAAACAATGAAAAGTAAAATAGTATCACTTTTTTAGTATAGTATCTTTACTTTATAGTATCACTATAGTTCTTAATTAATGTTCAGCAATTAATTCAGTTACTAGTTAATATTATGACTCACAATATCAATTCTAAACATTTAAGACATGTGCTTCTAAAAATATGATCTACGACATTTCCCCCGCCCTCTCGTCCCAAAATGAGATTCCTTACATTTTCACTTATTCTTTTTTACCCTCAGAAAATTTCTGGCCACCAGTAAGATGGTCTCTTTCTATACTTGCCCCCACCTTTTTCCTCTCATATAAGTTGGTCACTTGAAACACCTAAAATAACAAATTCCAGAGTTAGGCTTGCTTTGTTCCCCAGCCACAAATGATCTCCCTTGTCTTGGTTAGCCAGGACTGAAAACATGTACCATTTTCAAACTAGGAATTATATAAAAGAATGTGAGAGGATCAGTACAAATCTACATCACTACTCACATACCCTGCTGATGAGGGGTCAGCAGAATAAGTTTCAACTAGGAAGGGCAGCATTATATAGCTGGAAATATAATTAGATTCTATGGAATAAAGATAAACACTTCTACTTTGCAGTAGAAAGCTTAAAACTAAATAGGCCTTTGAAATCATGAGGTTTGCTGCTCACCAAGGTGACACCAAGGTAACTGTATGACAGAATCATGGTATTCAGTGAAAGGGAACAGAAGACACACTGAAAGTGATTTCCCTACAGGCAAGGAGATAGCTGACTTTATGGACTACGGACATGGTGTTAAAGAAGTAAGTTTAAATCACAGGTGGCTTGATAAAGACTTAATGGTTACTAGGCATTTAAAGCTATAACGAATCTTGCTTTAGACAAATCCTACAGCTATATGTTCTTAAGACAAGTGAAGTCATGTGATTTATAGACTTCTACTGTGTAATCTTCTAGTGGATTTCAAAGCTGTGGTCTCAAACTGCGACAATTTGGTAGCAAACAGGCAAAACAGTCTGATAAAATTGAGGAAAGATTAGGAAATACTACAAAACTGAAGTTTTTAAAAATTTGTCTTGTGATAAGATCTGAATATACATAGTTATATAAGAGATCCTATAAAGATATAAAAATCATGTACTACATGACATATAAAAATCAATGTTAAGCATTTGGAAGCCCATCATTGCAAAATATTTGTAATATATATTTGGATGGCTCATATAAATAAGGCACATGATAAACATATTTAAATGACATATCGATCACTTTTTTTTGTTAGCATGTGTTTATATGTCACCATAGGTTAAGGATGCATTTGCTTATTTCATCTGGCCTCTCCTGATCTAAGTTTTCCCACATTAAGCTAGAAGGACCTCCAGATGGAGAGGAGATATCCTTAGCCAAGTCTAAACAGTGGGTTAACGAGGGAAAACAAGAGCTGGAACTAAGGCCTGCACTGAGACTACATGGCGGGAACACAGTTGTCAGGCAAGACCTGAGGCTGGAGAGTCAGAAAAGTAGAAGAGGAATGGTACTGTTAAGACCCCTGGGATATAGTGGCCTATATTCTGGTGGAGAGAATGAGGTAATAAATAAAGCAAATTGGTCAATCATATACTACAGTAAAGCTTAAAAAAATAGAGCCAGATAAGAGGAATCTGTTATATCTGGTGTAAGAGGATTAGAAGCTAAATAGAAGGATGAACTTTCCAATGAATTATGGTTCTTGGTAGTGGTCAGGCTTCTCCCTAATCTATGAAAGAATAGTTGTGTCTCTCTGTATGGTCAGTCCTGTGTTCTTAGGAACAATGAAACAATTACTATGGCCCTGGATTAAAGTGTAATTTCTAAACTGCCTAAGGATCCACCCACTTCCCAATACTGGATGTGACAGAAGGACCACTAGAGATGAATTGTCTTATTTTGGCTACTTTTGAGAAATGGATGTTGGTATATATAATATATTTGACCCTGGGTGAGAGAGAGGGCAAACGGTAGAATTGAGATTTTACACTTTCATAACTTCAGACTTAGTGGCTTCTTCCTATAATATGTAAGAAGATAAAAGAATATCATACTATATTTTCAAGCAATATTGTTCTAAAAAGATACCCACCTTCCCTCCATCAGCATTATACTCCTTTTCATCTCCTTCTAAGAGTCTGGCTAGTCCAAAATCTGTGATTTTCACATGGTTTGGAGATTTCACTAAGACATTTCGGGCTGCCAAATCCCGATGAACAAGCCGTCTTTCTTCCAAGTACATCATTCCCTGAAAAACACCATGTTCCAAAAAGATAGTCAGTTAATGCCTAGGCTTTTCTATTTATCTAAAAAGCAGTTTCTTAGCCTCCAGTTGCAAGTGCTTGATGTCTCTAAGCGAAGCCAGGATCCTGGAATATTTTCAAAATTAGGAAAAACCTGGGATAAAAAAGCAAACCACAAATAACTTTTAGCCTTTATCACTTAAAGTCCTATAAAGAATGAATTACCTGTACATGAGCTAAATGTTAGATCATTTTTTTTTCCCTCAGAGACTTTATACTCTTTTGCAAACACTTTCACTAGTGAGGCGTGTCTCTCAGTAGATAAGCTAACACACACTTGGACTGACCCACATTATTTCTAGTAGTTTTCTTTTCAATAACTCCAGCTTCATGCCATCCTCCCCATACACACCTGCTCCAAAGACACCCATCCATAATTTTTTTAAAAAATATTTCATATGAAGGTTTAATGGTGCCAAAATCACCATCATAGATTCTATCAAGGCTGAAGAATTATATTATTCTTATTAATTATGCAAAAAATGAACTATACCTTAGAGGCATTAAAAGCCTATAATTTTTTTAGACGGCTTCAATGACATTAGTAGTCATTATAAGAACCCACAAGTGAAATTACATTGTTTATAATGACCTTGAAATAAGCCCTTAGTATGTTTTCTTCATTAATATATAGGGTAATTAAAAATAAAATGTATTACTGATTGCCAACAATTATATATATCCACATATATCCATATAAGTTCATATATATTCATATGTATATATCTATAATCCATAGAAGCGATAAATATTAATTGTACTTTACCAGTAGGGAAACTAAGAGTCATTAAACATTAGCCTTAACTAAAGGTTGATGTAAAATCAAGGAAGTAAACTCAGAGGCCTAGATTAGAGTGAACATATTCTTATTGAAGTGTTAGAGGAATTCTGTATTTGGGGATTTTAGAGGAAAAAAACTTGTCATTCAAAACCAAATCAGAATTATTAGGAAATGGTTAAAGCATACTCTCATGCCAATTGCAAATCAAAGCTCTTGGTAGTTAACATTGCAACTGCAGGACTTTGAAGGATTAACAGTTGCTGATATCAAAACAAAAGCTGTGGAAAACAGCCACATAAATCACACAGGTAGAAAAAAGGAAAAAAAAAAAAAAAGAACTGTATACCCAGTGTAGTGTAAAGAGAAGATTGCTTCAAACAGCATCATGGGCCAAACCCTATACTATAAATGCCCATTAAACACAACAGGTGGAGATACTGCCTAATACAATCCAACTGGTCAGTCGTTGGGTAACACCATTTGTATTAGTGTTTTCTGAAATCAGCCCACAACTGAGATTTCTAGGGATTGGTCCTCTTTCCTAAACAGTGCTTTCTGTTTGAGTATGCCAACTTGGAAATTCCTAGAATAAAGTGAATCTAAAAACGCATAGCCTTTATATGACTTAAGGGATCAAAAAACAGACTTATTGCCTTGGAGATAAAGTTTTTTTCAATTATTTGCCCCTTTAAGAAATGACCACAAAAACATTCATCTTTCCTCTCTTACCACCTTCATATCAGAATATGCAAAGTGTGTTGGCAACGAGTTAATATTCAGATCCACACATGATGACAGAACACACACTATGTTTCAGGCACTGTGCTAGACATCAGGGAAACAAAAGAGTCAGAGAAGATCTGTTCACTGAAGGAGGACAGAGCTATTAATGAAGTGGGCAGACATGGAATATGGACTTGAGTCAATCGGTATGATACACACAAAGGCATTTAAGGAGAGTTGTGTTTTGAGGATCATCTCTAGTAGATCCTAGCAAGTGTGCATGAGAGGGGAGCCTTCAGAGAGATCCCGAGGCCTAAGTAAGGTAATGACCTTCTTTTCAATCTTATGATATTTGAATTACAACTGTCTAGCAAAAATGCATTCTTATTATGTTTTAATCCAATGTGAAAATGTATTCTGCCCAGCTGCAGGAAGCTAACGCAAGTCAAGAGAGACCAGACTATTTTTGACAATAAATATTTGCTTCCCATATATAGGCCATGTGACAATTTCATCAAACACATGTGTGGAGCTAAAAATTTCAAGCTACAGTCAGCTCTCACAGGCATTAATCTCTGGAGTTAGCAAGAGTACACTTTTTTTCCTGTTTTCTATTCTAATAACCTGAAGCTTTTTTAATAACACAGGAAGCTTCAGGAAAGCTAGCTTCAAATGAAAATCACTCCTCTTTTCTACTTTTCCTTCTAAAAGCAATTCTATGCCTGAGGAAAAAAATCCAACTATAATGCTCTCTACTGCTAGGGCTAAAGACATAAGCATGTTCAATGGGAGAAAGGGGCCTTTTTGGATGAAGTAACTGACTTTATCCAAATAGTGCATGAAGGGAAACTAAGGAGGATTCGTAATTAAATCAACTGAGACGCCTTTTCAACCAGAGAAAGCTGGTTCATGGCAGCAGAGAAAGAACACAGAACTGAATGTTGGAGATAGGAATCCTGGACATGCTGTTCACTAGGCTTTTGACCTCAGATACTCATTTTACCTCTCCTGTAAAAGTGACAGATTGGCCTAAATGATCTCTGAAGTATCCTCTAGCTTTAAATTTTTATTCCATGATAGATGGAACTGTACAACAGATCTATATAAAATATTAAATCGTGGGCCAATAAAAGACACAGAGAACAGTAAAGAAAGACATAGAGTAGATGCCTCCCTTCAAATGTTTAGTGAGAGCCGTGAATATGTTTTAGTAAAAGTCAGTTTCCACAGACTGGAAACTGGAAACCACAGTTTCCACATGCATCCAATGTTTAAGATGACAGACTTTAGAAATAAACCCCAGCTCTTAGTAGCTCTGTGTCCTTGGTCAATTTATTTGTGTGTTTCAATTTCCTCATCCATTAAATGGGGATAATAATAGTATTTACCCTGAAGATTGTCTTGAGGACTGAATGCCTTCATAAGCACCTAGAACATTCAATATTCTAAGATACCATGTGTTTTCTAAATAAATAACCTCAAATTCAACCCTCTTATTAAAAATACAATTTGACTACTGTAAGAGAAAGAAAAGATAGCCAAATGAAATACCTACTGGCTACTCAGCACTGTTAGGTGAAGTAATTTCTGTTTCTTGCTTATTTGTCCTCGAATGTTCTCCTATTATTCTTTTCAGAGGAAGAAAAGCAGATTCACGTGGCTGTCCTAAACTAGCTTGGAGTTAATACTCATGGTTCATTCTTACATCTTCTGATTGCACCTATGATCTTTAAGAAACTTGGTTAGGTTCTAGTTCATAAGGAGATTTTGAAATATTGAGGGCTAAATTTACATCAGCTTAATAGTGCATAATTAAGACAATACTTGTTGATATTTGAAATGTATTTTTCAAAAAGTCTCCCAATAACATATTTGAGTGTGTGTGTGTGTGTGTGTGTGTATCACAGGCACATATGTATGTAGTGGGTGCTGTGGTGTAGCACCCAGAAACTTCTTCAGGACCAATGGATTCATAGGGGAGTGTTGGCTGCTGGTAACTCTCAGCTACATCACTTTGGATGCTTTAATACCTCCAACCCAACTGCTGCTTTGCTGGGGGTTTTGTCTTCTCACAGAGTCAGCCCACACCTAGCCACTGGCTGATGCAATTATAAAGTCCATCCCCCCCTTAGATGACTGTGAAGAACTATTCCAGTTCCAGGGCTCTCTCCTAAGATTGGGTGAGATCTCTGTTGCAATTTCATCATCGCTCAACTTTTTCCTTCTACCTAATATTTTTCATTGCTTTACAGGCATTGCTCCTGAGAACACTTGCCAAAAAAACTTCCTGCACACAAATCTGTTTTAGACACTGTTTTCTAGGAGCCAACTCAAGGTAATGTGTGTGACTTTTGTCTTTGTTTTCTTTTAGGATCTCAGGTATACAGAATTTTGAGTTAATCATACTCCATAATCCATGTGTGCCATTACCATTGTTCCCCTATGCCCTCCAACCCAATGCCATTCTTCTTCCCATCATAAGTATTCACAACAGTGTTTTTAGTGTACATCCTTCCAATCCATTATCCATAAGCTTATTTATTTTTATATTTTTAATACACAAATAGTACTGTGCACTAAACAAAAACATGTTTTACTTATACTTTTTTAGATTGAAGCATGATGCTATACAAAATCCACTTTATTTCTTCTCGTCGCATTAAATCATATCCACAAACTCATAAACCTATATATATAACATAGGCATACACTGTCAATTTACAGTCTATTCCACACTTGATGGGTACTAAACTTACCTCCATCTCTTTGACACTATAAACAAGACTGAATTGAACACTAACACCATGTGAAATGATATAAATTTGTTTAACAATATAAAAAAAAATCTGTTCAGTACTAATTTTAGTGTAGGAGAATCTAGACAAACAAAAATAGTAATAGTCACTGTGGAAAATGCAACAGGTAGAGGTTTTTTGTTGACTGAAAACACTGAAATCATATGAGGAATACATTATAACTGCATATGTTATCATTTTATATTTTTGTATGTATATATAATTAATATTTATTTAAGCACTCTGTGCCAGGGGACTGTCTTAAGTCCTGTGTGTATAGGAACTCGCAAGAACCGAATGACATCTGTACTACTATTATTCCTGTTTTATCATGAGGAAACTGATGCACAAAGAAATAAAATAAAAAAACTTACCCAAGGGTGACAGTGCAAGACAAAGCTTAGAAAGAACCAAGATTTGACTGTAGGCAGCTTGACTCCATAGGCAACAAACTTAAACATTACATTATATGACCATATACATCCAACTATAGTCAATAGACTCTAAACCATATATGAAACTAACAAAGACAGCATATATAACTGAATAATTGTTATATAAACAATGGCTGCTCTAAAATTTCAATGAAGAAAAAAGTATTGTACATAATAAATAAATCTCTTTAGTTTTGCTGGGTTCCCCTAGAATGGTTTCTCCAGACCACCAACTTGTGAATTCAACTGTGTATTTTCCACAATTTGAAGACTGTCTGACATTTAACTATTACTCAACTGATGTTTGTAGTTGGGTTAAATGAACAATAAGACCAAAGTTTTGTACAGCTGTTCAGGAGGTAGAAATTCTTCTTTGCAGTGGAAGTGGGACAAATTTAGAAGTCTACAATATTTATGATAGGTAGAAGAGAGCAAAACCTGCAGCATTCAGGGTCAAACCCAAGATGGTAATATTAGCATACCAGGGAGAGTGAAGGAGGACAGCATTTACAGATTCCTGAGGGTGGCGGGGAAAACAGATTTTTTTACTTCTGGTTCTCTACATTTTCTTCAGATGTTTCTTCAGAAATTTCATCCCCCCCTTCATAAGCTTTTGGAAATTTCCATTGCAAGAATTTGCAGGACAGGGGCGCCTTGGTGGCTCAGTCGTTAAGCGTCTGCCTTCGGCTCAGGTCATGATCCCAGGGTCCTGGGATTGAGCCCCGCATCAGGCTCCCTGCTCAGCGGGAAGCCTGCTTCTCCCTCTCCCACTCCCCCTGCTTGTATTCCCTCTCTCGCTATGTCTCTCTCTGTCAAATAAATAAATAAAATCTTAAAAAAAAAATAAGAATTTGCAGGACAGCCTGCTTGGGACTCAAAAGTCTCTTAAAGAAACAAAATAATAATAATAAAGAAACAAACAAAAAATAAGTTAAAAAGCATGTGTGAGAAACCACTGCTATCCTACCAAATAAATAACAGGTGAAAAAGCTCATCTGCCTGGATCAAGAGAATACTAAACATGCTAACGTTTTTCCTTCTCACTGACCTCTTGCCAATATGATTACAAAGAGACAAGTGAATTGTAGAGTGTCCATGCTCTCTCAGAAAAGTATACTTAAAATAGATTATTTCTGCTCTTTAGGCAGCCGATCAATAAAGATGTGGATTGCAATGAGAACGGAGATGTCTGTGGGCTGTAGTAGTTATCCTCTGTGTCTCTTTAGAAATTAATTAAAAATCAATGAAGTGTGCAAACTATTAATACAGCAACCTCTAGATTAACAGATAAAAGCCGAGCCTTTCTCTGAGCACACATATTGTGCAAATACATTCAGACACTATAGGGAGGAGGCTGAACGTCTGATGCCTTTGTTATAATTGAGCAGAAACAAATCATTCCTAATATTCTTTAGTTTCACAGGGTTGCATGCTACTGACTGAAAACTATAAAGTTCAGTGGGTGGGAATACGTGCATACAATTTTCTTTCTTAAGACAATTATATCAATTTTAGGAGGTATACTTATTACAAAGCAAATGGTCATCACACAGAACTAAAATTTTTCTTTTCTTTTCTTTTTTTTTAAAGATTGTATTTATTTGACAGAGAGTGACACAGCAAGAGAGGGAACACAAGCAGGGGGAGTGGGAGAGGGAGAAGCACGCTTCCCGCCGAGCACGGAGCCCGATGTGGGGCTCGATTCCAGGACCCTGGGACCATGACCTGAGCCGAAGGCAGACGCTTAACAACTGAGCCACCCAGTGCCCCAGAACTAAAAGTTTTCAATAACAATTTTTTTAAGTGTGGTTTACCCATTTATAAGTCCAGGCAGTTGAGTTTAGTTATAACCGCTGAATATTATAGAGTAAGTATCTTCCCTTGAAAAAAGCAAAATTCCTAGAACACTAAAAGCTCTCATGTGATTTGAGCCAATTTTGTGTCCACATATAATGCATCATCCAATTCCGTTCCACCTCTGTCTCATTCGGATGCCATGGACCTGGCCCACATGTGCAAATGCTTACCCAGCTCAAGTAAAGCTTATTAGGGTGGCACTCACATACTCCCCTCCGGAAGTCACCCAGCTACTTTCCCTCTGCCTGCTCTCTACCCAGGTTCCTCTTGCTGAGGTTCCTTCCTCCTTAAAATTCTCAGAAGGATCGGAAGCACAGCTTTCAGTTTTCATTTCAATCTCTTAGAGTTGATTTGGAAGTCCATTTTGATGCTTTTCCTTTGTTTCAAATTTGCACTCTCTCTTTGACAGAATTCTAGGGCTTTGTCTCTAGTCTCTGCGTAAGGAAATAAGAGAAAAAGGATTCCTGATTTATGCCATGGCTCATTTTCTAGCCCAATGTCACCATAAAAATATCAGATATCGCATGACAGTTAAGAGGAGAATGGTCTGTCGGTATTTAAACTGACAAGAAGTTGTCATCTGAATTTTTCAGTTTTCATAGTTTGGGGATATACGTGGTGTCATAGTAATAACACAAATTTCACTGTTTCTTGGCCCAACCTGCCTGCAGAGAACCTGTAGCTATTTGCCCTTTAGAAGCTGTTTCCAGATATTTCTGGGGTTTCTCCAGTGAGCCGCACTGACGTTCCTGAATACTTTCTGGGTTCTTTTTCTCAGGGTTCTTTGTTGATCTCTGCATCCTTTAAGCTTGCAGCTGGAGCTGCTGTGGAAATACTGCTGTTTTTCTAGTGGCATCTCTTGGTGCTTGAGAAGCTGCAGCTTATGATAATTGTAAACAGTGAATGATGCCCTTCCAGCCTCCTCACCCTGCGAGAGCCCTGTGATCTTCCACACTACCTTAGCGAAGAGCTCTATCCGCTTCTGAACACTGTGCTGTAATTTGTCCCTGGCCACATGAATTGCTATTCTTGAGACCCTAGTCTCAGTCCCCTTAAAAACTTATTCCCTGACTTTAGCTCCTGACTCCATAAGAGCTCAGACTTGGTCCAAGAGGTAGGCAGGGAGGACTAATACATCCGTCTTTGTTTAATTCTCCTCTCTGACTCCATGCAATTTTTGTCGTTGTCTCATTTTCCACGGTCCGCTGATACATCTGCACATGCACACACATGCTGTCACGTGCTGAACCGCCTCTTCTATCCCATAACTGAAAAAAGTCCTCAAGCAGCTTGACTGTCACTCTAGCTTCTTTTCTTGGGATTCCTCAGCTGGAACTCCATGGCTCAAATCACACTGCTAGACTCCTTCTACCACGCTTCAGATGCAGACTTGGGTAAATTTAATACTCTCTTAGATCACAAATCAGCTGTCATTTCCTCCACAAAGCTTTCCCTCACTCCCAAGGAGATTATGTCACTCTATTATATGACCTTACAATGTCCTTTTCCCCTATCTTTCTTTCTATCTATCTATCTATCTATCTATCTATCTATCTATCTATCATCTATCTATCTTCTATCATCTATCATCTATTTCAAACTAAACCCTGAGATTATCAAGCATTGTTGTGAAATAACTTTCTGTGTAAGGCTAAATCAAAGTTACTTTATAAAGCAGAAATAACATATTTATAAGTTAGGCTGGCTCTTCTATGCTCAGGCTTTAGAAAGACTATATTGCATATCACACAACTTCAGCAGTTTCAGGTGAAGAGTAGAAAAAGACTCGAATACATCTCATTCCCAACTGAACACTCATCTACTAGACTGAGTAGTTTGTAAAATTATTTTTAACAGAAACACTGAAGAGAGGGATGGGAGTACAAAGCTATGTTTTGGCTTGTTCAAATCTGAAAAGTTAAAGTTTTAATCTGACCACCTTTCATTCTTTTGCTTTAAACCCTTAAGAGTCCTTAACTGCCTGAAGCTGAAAACACTGCGCTCCTGCTGAGATGACTTAATTCAGTTTGATCCTTCTCACATTTCCCAATTCCATCACATCGTAGACAGCCAATAAATAGTAATCAATAAATAGTAGTCGATGGATTGATTTCCCCCTCCCTATTCCATCTATTCATCCATTTGTCTTCTACTGCCTTTCAATCACAGGGTTAGGAGAGAAGGAACTCTCAGGAATAATAAATCTATTCACAAACATATAGTCTTATAACGATTAAAACTAAAGGAAGAACAAAAAGGATAATATTTAATATTACTGGAAGTAATTTTGTATTGTTAGTGATTATTTTTATTATATCATCTCTTGCTCTTTTTTTAAAGATATTAAATATCTGCTAATTTCCAAGCTTACTTGCATATGTATTACAACGTGCTTAGTGACTATTTTGACTTGCAGAAAACTTTGGGTTTTTGTGCTAAATACTATGTTTTTCTACTCTGGTAGGAAAACCTAGGTGCTGCTCATACACACTGCCAAAGTAGAATCTGAAAGTTGCCCTCTTCATTTGCACTTCTCCCCCGCTCACAGATTTGTGCAATTAATACTTCACATAAAAAAAAAAAAAAGCCGAAAATAAACATCACACAAACCATGCTCTAAAGAGTCATTCTCATTCCATCCCTGTTCATCTTTGATAGCTCAGTAGAGTACAGTAT